TGAATGCCTTTTATCAAGATGATAAAGGAAGATGCTGAAAACAGCAGCAAAAAGCCCCATCGTTCGCTTATTCACACACATAACTGAATATCTGTACTTTACCAATCACATTCTCTCCACAGCTTGTGGAGACCATCCTAGTGGTCTTCTAGAGGTTCATAGTAGATTCAGAACCTCCACAATTACGTTTTTGTTGTTTTGAGACAGTGTTTGTAGTCTGGACTGGAACTGAATTCTTGATCATCCTGCCTCGGCCTCCCAAGTGCTAGGAAGATAGGTGGGCACCATCACACACAGGAAAAATACGGTATTTTTTTCCCTAAGAAAGGAAAGGAGAAGTAATGAGTTGAGTGCCTACTGCACATCACCATGTCATCAGTGGACCCTGCTGGTAGGAACTGGAAAACGTGAGAGTTTTAGCTACCTGTCCTTAGGATCATCACAGTGAAGGGTATGGTAGACTCCCCGCTCATTCCTGTAGGAACTTGCTCAACCCATGGACCACACAAGCAAAGGGGTGTTTAGAAGTGGAAGTACACAGAGCTCTCAGACACTGCTGGGCTGCAGTTCCTAGGCATCTTTTAGACCTACTCACACTTACATCTCACCTGCTACCACACTGTCTCTCCAGACCAAGGGCCAGAGCTCTCCCTCCACGTGAGAAAGCTTGACAAGAACCTTCAGGCAAACCTGCCTGGGGCCCTGGGACCATTGTGGTTCTGAGCTGCATGAAAGGGGAATACCCTATGGCCAAGAGCTCAGGAAAAGAAATCCCACCTGTGAATCATAGTGGCTCAGAACTTCCTCAGCGCCTCTAGGGGCCCTCTGAAGGGCTTGTCATGTATCACAAAGGGCCCTGGCACCTGAAGCTTTTCGTGTAAAACAAGATCTCCTAGGGCTGGGTGGTCTTTCAAGTTCTCTCATGGATTCACGAGATTCTCTATCAGCAGGAGAGAGGAGGCTTGAAACACCAAGTGAAACATTCCCAGTGGGCATGGTTTTCAACTTTTGATATTATTTTATCAGGTATTTTCTCCATTTACCATACCATACACTGAAAGAAAAATGCCACACATTCTCTCATGTATAGATCCTAGTCTTGAGTATTTAGATTTGTGTGTTTAACCTGGTGTACCTGCAGAAGTCAGGAAACTAGAAAGGGGTCATTGGGGTGAGGAATGACTTAAGGGAGACAGTAATAGAGGATGGGTCTTAGGAAAGTAGAAAGGGAGGATACTGGAAGTAGAGAAGTTTAAACAGGGATAGGGTGGGGGTGAGGGGATGAGGGGACAGGAGAGATGAAGGTTAACCAAAATGAAAAGTGCATGAAAAATCCATGTGGAAACCCACCACTTTGTTAGCCAATTAAAAAATGTAATTAAAAAAAGTTAGAAGGGAGATCTACCTGGCTGGACAATGCTGCCTCTAAACCCACGGGTATTAAACAAACATCTCAGTGCCTGATATAGGACACGTCCTCAGGAGTTGTTTCTATGGGAGGCTCTTGCCATTCCTCTTGGTTGCCACCAGAACTAGTCAATAAAACCCTGCTGCTGAAGTTGCAACTCCAGTTGCAAGATAAAGAGGAATCAAAGTGAACCTGAGCTAGAAACTCTCTCTGCGCTGGCTAGCTTTCATAAAGATGTTTATGTAGGCTGCTGGGGGAGAAAAGGTATCAACTGTCTTACCCAGCTGTGAACCATACAAATTGCCATCGCAATCTGCAGGCAAGATACACACACTGGGGAAATGGTGGCGTGAATGTTACGGTGGTAAACAAGTATTCTCAGATTGTGGTTAAGATCTGCATTACAGGACGGAAGGTCAGGTACTAAAAGCCAGTCAAAAACCCATGTCTGGGACTTAGGCTGTAGGGGGAGCTTATTAGAATTCTTCAGCAAACTCTTCATAGAGATGAACTGCCTTTTAATACTTATGTTGACATCCATAGACAAATGTGGTGTACAGTCTTCACTAGAGAAGCTTCTCTTTGCAATGAGCTGTGCTCAATGCTGAGACTCTTGGCTGCTCAAGGGGCTGAGGATAAGTGATGACTGAGTGCTGCAGTCACTTTTAGCACCCTCAGGCTCAGCAAGCATCAGGAAAGATGGAATGGAAGGAGTCTAAGAGCCAGAAGACAAGGAAAAGAGCTGTGAAATGCATCTTCTCAGTATCACAAAACCCTTGCAATCATGATCATACAGAGGCTATAGCGGTCTGCATAAGACTGGGCCTCTCATCAATCAATCATAGATAGGGAAGGGACTCTTGTGCTCATACCCTACCCTGCTAAACTATTAGCTACTGGTGTTTTCCAGGGGAGGAACAGTCATTGTCTTCACTTGTGTACCCACAGGTGAGCCCACCAGGCTCCAAAGGATAGTTCAAAACCTACCGTCGGGGCTGGAGAGATGACTCAGCATTTAAGAGCACTGACCACTCTTGCAGAGACTCCAGGTTCGATTCCCAGCCTCCACATGGTGGCTGACAACCATCTATAACTCCAGTTCCAAGGGAATCTGATGTCCTCTTCTGACCTCCGCAGGCACTGCATGACACAAGTGCACTTACATACATGTAGGCAACACACTCATACACATAAAATAAAAATAAATAAAATTGAAAAAAACAAACCCATGGTCACACAGATGGCCCTGGTTAAGCTTAATGGATCACAACAGAGAACAAAGACACGAAGGTGAGGAGGGAGGGTGGGAGGGGGATGGGAGACTGTGGGGGAGGAGAGCAATCAGAAGGCATTATATTGTATACATATGAGATTATCAGAAAGGAAAATGAACAAAAGTCATATATAAAAAAGACCACATGAAGCAAAAGTGAAAACAAAATCTGTTATAAATGAAAAGCAAATTGTTAGGAAAGGGTGAAATCCAGAGGCAATAATTTCTGTTCTACAATGGGCTGTTTGTGATGCTGTGTCAGCTAGGTGCTCTGAGCTGGAGCCATTTCCTATTCAAACACATGGTGGAGAAGGATCTACCAGTATATCCTGCGCGTCACTGCCAGTGGCACTGTGGAAGTTCTATTGCGCAGTCTAACAGCTTCATAGGATCCCTGAGCCCGCTGCACAGATGAAAACACAGTCCAGAGAAAGGAAATTACCTTGGGCCAATCACTCACCGTCCACAGGTGTGGAATTCCCAGGACACAGTACACTTCCCTAGATTTACGACAAGGAAATTTTGATTTTCAGAATCTCACACAAGTCTGACTGCTTCTCTGGCATAATCCCCAGGGGAGGAGGCTGATTTTGATGAAATGGAACGCAGCTCCCGAAAGATGGAAGGAAGACACGGCTAGTTGGAAAACTTAAGAAGGAATCAAAGCACAGTGACTAAAAACGCAGAATAGAAGCTTATTTGAGGGACTGGGGAGACAGCTCAATCAGTAAAGCACTTGCCTTACAAACATGACAACACGAGTTCAACCTCTGCAACCTATATAAAAAGAACAGCTGGATGTGGTGGTACATACTTGGAAGTAATCCTAGTACCATGGAGCCAAGACAGGAGAATCCCTGAGGCTTGCTGGCCAGCCAGCGTAGCCTAACTGACAACTCCCAAGGCAACAAGAGACCCTGTCAAAAGAAACAAGGTACAGAGAGCCTGAGGAACGACATCCAAGATTGACCTCTGGCCTCAACATGCACGTGTACAAGTGTGTATGCACACCCTCACACACACATTCATTTGGTTCAAATCAAAGGTAGCATAAACAGCTAGTGTAATTCTATGTAATAGTCAGAAAGAGATGGTTCCTATGGATCCTATTGCTTAATAGATTTCTGAGTGAAAAAAATAAACTGCAAAACAATCTGTTCATCACAAGTCCACAAACAGTTCTCGGTAGGCATGTGTGCATGTGTACAAAAACACATTAGGAAGGCCTGCAAGGATGTGATCCAAAATAACAAAGTCCCTAAACAGACGCAAAGACAAGGCAAAGATTCAGTGTTAAAAGGACCTCTGCTTTACTGCAATGTTCTGGTTTTTTTTTCCTAAGACGAATATGATCATTTAATATTTATAGAATGAAATATTGACTGTTTTTAAAAAGCAGAAAGTAGAAATGGCCCTTTATGGATTCATTCATCCATCTGTTCATTCACCACTCAAGCACCTTCTTATGAGGCAGGTATGAGACAGGTGAAAATTACAGTCCAGGTCCACCAGACTCAGTTCTGCTTTTGGAGAGAAGAAAAACTGCTTGGCAAGCACAAAGCAGACGACACATCTGCTTGCAAAAGAAGAAGAGGGAAGAGTTAAGAATATAAGGAGGGTAGTATCAGGCCAGCAAAGTGGCTTAGCTGTAAAAGGAGTTGCCACACAAGCCTAAAGACCCAAGTTGTACCCCTGGAACCAGGAAGGAAGGAGCAAACCAACTCCAGAACATTGTCCTCTGACCACATTCATGTTACAGCATGCGAGTGTTCACAATCACACACACACACACACACACACACACACACACACACACACACAGCGATCTGTACGTATCACTGGAAATATAGGGTCTTCCCTAACCCTTTCTTGTCTGCCATTTTGAGATGTCATAATTATGAAAACAGCAGCAGGACAAATTTCTGTAATTTGAAAGAAATTTCTATTGCTTTTGGCTATAATTTGTAATGAAATATCATAAAGGATGGTTTGCATTCCTAAATATTTAGCCCCACAAATAGAGAGGTGGCTTTGTTGCTCTTTAAGACAGTGGGTCTTTGGATGTTTTTATCAGTTCATATGGTTTACTCTGCTAGGCTAGAGATAGCCTCTGCCAAGATTGCTGTTTTGATTTGGGTTTCTAAAAATATCTCATGGGAAGCTTGCAATATAAGAGGAAGATGGTTTCCTATAGCTCCAGGGAGAAAAAAATATAAAGCATTTGATTTGAATTGCCTAAAAGCTGAAATTGAGTGCAAATATCTCCTTGTAGCAATTGCTACATAATTAGCCATCCTAATGGAATCCTTTCAGAATGGAGGCAGTTCAACAAGTGAGTTTAATTGAAAGTTAGATGTAGAGACCAACAATTCTATTAAGCCCAGACTGAAAGAAGACAGTTCAGCAGTGACCAGATCCCTGTTGAAATGTATTAGGTGCGATGGGACATGGGGGGAAGGGAAGGGAAAGTGTTCTCCTCTCCTGGCCAAGTTTCCAGACTTTTTTCTCATTTTCACACATCTTCTAAGTCTTTCAGAAAAAGGAATCCCATTCTCTCTGGGCCGACGTCACAGCTGGGTCTATCTCCTATGCTAGTTTATCAGTCTTCTAAAAAAGAAAAGAAGCCAGGTTTAGAAGAAGGTCAGAGATAAAGACACTTACCATCCACCTTGTTCATTACTAGGCCTGGGTACTTCATTCTTGGAGGTGAACACTCACCTATCAGCTCAGGGAGAGCTCAGCTGTGTTGTAGAACTGCCTTCAGCCTCAGGATTTCCATCTTCGCCACTTATCAGCTATGTGACTTCAGCTGAGTCACCTGACATCTCTAAGTCAGGTGTTTATGCATCTAAAAAAATAAAACAGGATTGCTATTATCATTTATCTCAGGATTCGGAGAAAGATGAACTGTGTGTACAATCACCTGGTGTTGTAGCTACTGCCCGACACTGTGTGCTTATGAGGAGGGCCGGCAAGGAGATCCAAATCCTCCTTTACCACTTAGGATGGGACCATGGACCAGCTGCATCTGCACGGACTTGGAAACCGTTATTAACACAGATGTTCAGCCATGCATGAACCTTCTTTAATAGGTACTCCTGTAGGCTAGCCTGTACCATTTCTCGGGTGTGTGGCTCTACATCAGGTGACCACCAGAAATGTTGGAAGTATTGCGTTGCTTTTGTGGTTAGTAGCAAAGACTTTCTGTATAAAAAGTGTGACTGAGTCTTCAGGTGGGAATTCATTATCCTGCTGAGGAAGTCAGGATAGTAGTCTCTGCGACACTCTAACGCCTAATGCTGAGAGTAAGATGCAAGAAAAAGCCCAGCTCTGAAATCAGACACTCTGGGTTTTAAATCATGGTCCTGATACTCAGAACTGTCTGGGGTTAGAAAGTTGATTCCCTTGATCCTCCCCCAGTTTCTTCACATAAGATGGAAAAAACAGCTCCAGCATTTATCCAGTGTATTTTGAGTGCTTTACATTTATCCACCTACTGAGCACTCAGAAAACACTGCTATTACACTTGCTGCACAACTGGGAAAGCCAAGGGACAGCTCCGGGGAGTTTCTTGCTAAAGCCACCCTTCTAATAAATTTCAGAAGCAGATTCTCCCCTCCTTCCCTCCCTCCTGCTTATACTAGGGATTGAACCCAGGGCCTTGTGTATGCTAAGTAAGCATTCAATCACTGAGCCACATCCCCAGCCCAGAAGCAGGTTTCTTACTGGAGCCTATGCTGGGCCTATGACAAAGATATGCTCTTGAAGGATTGTCCAAAGACTTCTGTGAGATCACAGGAGGAAAATGCTCTCTAAGTCGCCTAAAAGAGAGTAAGCACTCAACAAATTTTAATGATTGGGTATCACTTAAAACTTTGCTTTTCTCTTTGGCCATGCAGAAAAGGCACAGGTTACTAGAGCATCCTTGTAGCAGGTGAGAAGAGGAAGTGGTTGCCTGCAGAGGTACCAGCCCTGGACAGGTGTTCAGCTCCACCTGCCCTCATGGCACAGGGCCAGAGCTATGGCACTCTGCCCTTCAAATCCTTCTGCTGCCTTCTCTCCTTGGGAGCCAGCAGAAACCCAAGCTGAGGCAGCTGGGATGGGAACAGGTCTGATGTCTGTCTGGCATGAAGAACTTTAAAATGAAATTAAGTTTCTAAAATGAGCTGGACAGATCTCATCCCTGGGGAGTGAACATGCATGTGTTGATGAACCGCTTCTGAACTTCTCTGCAAATGGTTAATCACACAGATCTGGGGGGAGATTCCTGGCAAAGAACAAGCAATATATTGCCTCAAAATTGCTCAAAGTAGAAATCTGGGGTAGAAGCCTGTTGGATGCTGAGAAGCCAGTCAGTCATTTCTCTCTGTTTATTAAAATATACCCAGTTCTGTAGAGGTTTAGGACAGACAGGGGCATAGATGGCAAGCAGATGAGTCGCCTTAGTTGAAAGCAGCCACAGCAATCTGTCATCTCTGAGGGGGACTGGCCAGAGTACTCCTAGCCCAAGTTACCCTATCATAGGGCAGTCTACTGGGGAAGTCTACTGGGGATTTCTGTAAATACTTGTCTTCTCTTATAGACTTATTGTCTACTTGATAGTTCTCTTTTCTGGAGATGTGGCTATGGCAAATAAGTGTCCAGCATAACAGCCAGTCCAGTGCCCCAACATAGTCACAACATTAAATGTAGCGTTCCTGATATATCTGATCATACCAGGTGCTGGTGAGGCCATGGGGAAACAGAAACCAGCAAGCATGGCTGACAGAAGTGTAAGTCGGTACAGTCATTCTGGAAAACAATCTGATAACACTCATGAAACTGAGTGTGCTTATGCATTATGACTCATCCACATCAGGGATGAATCCACACCAAGGACAATCTCCCACAGTCCTTGCCACAGGTGTGAAGTGTTCATCACAATGCCAGAATAGGTCATCTGGCATTTACTAGCAGGGAATGGAAGAACAGGAGAAAGAAACAGTACAGGGCCAATGGCAGGGAGAGGTGGGTCCTTCAGAAGAATCAGAGGTACCCAGAGCACTAAAACTGGATCATTAAGGATTAGAATGGATCATGGATTGGAAGCTAGGTCCTCAGTATGGTGAGGCTGAGAGGTGGTAGGAACATTAAGAGTTAGGAGAAGGACTGAGAAATGCTATCTTCTGGCCATGGCTCAGGTGTTGCAATCATGATCTCTCAGCAACTGAGGCTGCCTGAACTGGGCCTGTGTAAGACTGGGCCAGTCAGAAGTCAGTGGTGGATGAGGGAGGTCTCCTGGGCCCTACCCCTCCCTGATGAACTATTTGATAGATCCTAGGAAGAGGAAGTCATTACCTCTACATGTGTGACTACTAGTTAGCCTATCAGTTTCCACGGGAAAGTTCTATACCTGTGGTCACTCAGAAGGCCCTGGTTAAACTCAGTGGGTCCCAAAACAAAACAAAAAGATGTGAACAAGGGAAATGGATCTTTAGAGAAGAGGGCAGACAGACAAAGCTGGGAGGGAGAGAAGACAGGTGGGGGTGAGCGAATTATATATGTTATAAAATTGTCAAAGAACACATTTAATTAGCAAAAAAACCTTTTCAACGATACAGCCAGAGGTGTGTATCCTAAGAGATTCCAAATCCAGTCCAGTTAACAATGAAGATTAATTATCAAACCCTATTTTGGGAAGCAGAGTTGTGACTCCTAAGGGCTCCAAGCTGACTTATATACTTTTTTCCTCTTGAAAGATCTAACAGTACTCAATGTCTTCCAGAAGAGGATTTTTCTGGCTAAGAAAAACCTTTCAACAGAGAGCCAGAGAGGTGATGTGGGGGTTTGGGCTGAGATAACTAGGCATTCTCTATTTTTCAATAGGTGGTGGTGATGGTGGGGAGGTTCTACTGATTTTCAAATATGACAAATACAAAGAATGTGAGTCAAACAAAAGAAAAATAGAGGTATGGGGAAAGGCAGACAACGTAAACGAGGCAAACAGGGTGTTATGAACATTCCCCCTGACCTGGAGGAAGGAACTCCAGTGGTCCAGTGCACAGAGGGACTTGGTGTGCATTTCATGAAGAACTAGAAGCACGCTCAAAGGTTCCGAACACAAACAAGTGATGAATGTTTAGTTGGAAACATTAATTGCCCTGATTTAATCATTATACATCATGTGTGCATTTGAAATTACACTTCAACTGGGCCAGCCTTGGAGGGAAGAGGCCTAGCTTTGGAAGGGGAAGATGGAGTGAACTGGGCAACAGGAGAGATGGAGAGGTGACCCTTAGATGAGTGCTTCAGGTTTCCTTTCCTACCTCCTAATCCCACAATGCCAATTCTGTGAAAACTTATTTCTCAAGCGCCTGCCACAGCCAAGACACTACAGAGAGGATTGCAAAACTGAGGTCATTCCTGGAGTACATAATCTAGTTAAGGAAGTCAAGACTTCAACCGGAGGAATGTTAGGTAACCATGGAAGAATGAAGTGTAAAACAACAAAACAAGACTGTCAAAAATTAACCAAGTGTGGGCACTGCATGGTCTGGAAACAGGAGATCAGGATCACAGTGGGCTGCATGGGGGAGTCCTCTGAGAGCCACATTTCAAGGAGAGCCATAGGCTGGTGAGTGGCTGTCAGAAGCAACCAGTGATGAATGTCCCAAGTGGGTCGGGGTTCTATGTACTCAGAGAAAACAGCCTCTTGAAGCTGTAACAGAAAGACAATAACTGAGAACCTTGTGAGGCAGGGTACTGGGGCTGTGATGTTGAGGAGACTGAAAGCCAGGTAGAGGGTTTGGCCTGGGACACAAAAATGAACACTGCATGAGACAGTGTAGTTGAGAGCCAAGGGTAGGGAGAAGATATATCAGCAGAGACCACAGAAAGACCCCCATGAAAAAATCCCAACTTAAGCAGGGATGGAGGCATGTGGAATCAGTTCTTTCAGGTGCCACCAGTGAGCACAGTAGTCATCACTAATCCATCCTGCAGAGCCCACACTGGACCTTAGAATTTGTTCCTACTTAGGGCTTCAGGCAGACCCTATCAATCAATCCCAGGGCAACAACTCCAAACTTATTTTGCAGGCTGCATCAGTCAGGAGTGGCCATGTTCTGCTGCACTAACAAGTAGCCCCAAATTTCAGTTAATTTGGCTACAATGGACCAACTGATCTGAAGGTTTTTGAATATATATAATTAGTTCCATTTTGAAGTTTTGCTTTCATGTTTATGAGTTAATAATTTGATCTGCTAGTTCTCAAACTTGTATATGAGTCCTTAAAATACAGATAAGTCTGCTTATAGTGCCTAAATGGCAAAATGAACCTATCTAAGAAGCTTGAGGAAAATGATCCCTGCTGTTTACCAACTCCATTGTGTCATAAAGTCTGGTGGGGGCTCAGACAGGTGTCTGCATCCTAGTAAGCTTCCCAGATTATCATTTTCAAACTGAAGGCTGAGAACTACTGCCATCAAAAGGACTGAAGGCTATGGGGAGATAATCTGGGAGGATGGGACATTACAGAGATGCCCAGGGAGTAGGAGGCCAAAAGATTGCAGCAGATAGCTGTTGCTCTGTGTGTGCAAGTGTACCTCTGCTCCTAGTCTAACAGGTAAACCGTTTCAAAACCATAACTCATGATCTGCTGAGCCTCTCCTCTAGTCCCAGAAAACAATGCTCACTTTCACCTGAGGCCAAGTTTAAGATCCTGATTGGCAAGAAGACTTTCCAACACAGCAGTGGGCAAGGCTTGAAGACTGAACCCCAGATGCTAGAAACCTGCACTGCAGGAGGAAATACAAAGAGTCACTGACTAAACGTGTGCTACAGCTAGCCTCACCTTTGGTCTGTAATGGG